AGGGAGAAGGAGAGAGAAGGAGGGAGAGAGGGGAAGAGAATGAGGGAGAGAGCGAAGAAGAGAGCGAGGGAAAAAAGAGAGTGAGGGAGAGAGAGAGGGAGAGAGAGAGAGGGAGAGAGAAAGCGAAGGAGACAGGGTGAGAGTGAGGGAGAGAGAACACGGAAGAGTGAGTGTGAGGGAGAGAAAGCAAGGGAGAGAGTGAGGAAGAGAGTGAGGGGAAAAAAGAGTGAGAGAGAGAGAGAGAGGGAGAGAGAAAGCGAAGGAGAGAGGGTGAGAGAGAGAAAGAGCGCAGGAGAAAGAGCGCGAGGGAGAATGAGAAAGTGATGGAGAGTGAGCGAGGGAGTGAGAAAAAGCGAGGGAGACTGTGAGTGAGGGAGACAGGGCGTGGTCACACAGCAATCTCTTCTCTTCCATTTCTCCACCCTATAATGATATGGGGCACCCATGCACAGGTACCCAGCATTTTTCGAGGGGCTGGGGCTGGGATTTGAACCAGGGTTAGCCATGTGATTCTATCTCTCTCTCTTTTTTTTTTAAAGATTTTTGCTACAGAGCATGTGTGTTCACCAGAAAGAGGAAGAGATAGAAAGCCAGAAATCATCCCCCGGAGGGTATAACCACGCTGCAATCTCTTCTTCATTTTGGGGATGCACTCACATACACCCAGCCTGAGTTTCAAGCCACCAGTTCCAGGACTCAAACCATGGTTGACCATGTGGGAGTCCAGCACATTAACCACTATGCCACCTGCCACCCTGATTACAACTCTCTTAGTCCCTAAGGCTGTGGTGCTGGTCCTAACTTCCTCATTTGTGATCTTAAATTGTTAAAAATTTAAATAGGGGCCAGCTATGTAGCACAGTGATGAAACACTCTTTACAGAGAACTAGATCACGCATGCATACCATAGTTTGAATCCCAGCCTCAGCAGATTGGAAAAAACACCAGGTATGTGTGCACGCATGTCCTAAATCCGAGGTGGGAAATCAGAGGGAAAAGGATTGCAGCATGACCACACCCAAATGGGGAGTTCTCTCTCTAGTAAGTGCATATCTCTGACCAAAAATAAATAAATAAATAAATATTTTTAAAAAAAAAACTAGGGACCAGCAGATGGCATAATGGCTAACGCGCTGGGCCCCCAGTGGTCCACAGTTCATGTCCTGGACCCGTGACTTAAACTCACACCAGGCGCGTGTGCGTGTGTGCCCAAGATCCCGAGAGGGGAATGGAAGAGAAGGGATTGCAGCGTGGCCATCCCCCCTGAGGAGTGATTTCTTGCTTTCTGTCTCTTTGCTTCTGTCTTTCTGGCAAGTGCGTGCGCCCTATAGCAAAAACCTCTCCAAAAAAATAAATAAAAATTGCTTTCTCAGTAGCTGTAGAAGCCTCTTAAGGTTATGGAAGAGGCAGAGGGAATCAACTGCTCGTGACCTGGAAGCACTGTGCCTGGCTACTGTGGGAGCCCTGATGGTCCTCCTCCTCCTGCACTGCATCTTTCTTCAGGTTCCCGCGTGGATTCTTAACTCTTCTAGGGCACGGGGCCACAGCTTGAAACTCATGCTGGCATGTGCCCAAAATTCTGAGAGAAGAATGGAAGAGAAAGGATTGCGGCATGGCCATCTTCCCAGTGGGTGATGTCTTGCATTCTGTCTCTCTCCATCTCTCCAGTGAGCACACACTACCTACTGCAACAATCTCTCTCAAAAACAAACAATGAGGAAACTGCTAAGAGAAAAAAAAGCTGGCTGAATTTCTTAGGCCAGAGTTTTACATTTTAATTAAATTTAATCTACTCAAATCAGGACATGTTCTTCCAGCAAGGGAGGCACAGGCCAAAGAAGGCAGCTAGCTGCTGTTGTATTACAAAGTGGGAAAACAACAGGCACCTCCCTAGAGATGCAAATGGCATTACCTTGCAGGGGCTCAAATGCCAACATTTCTGCCCATTGGCGGTTGCTCACCCAGCTCTGCTTTAAACCAGTGCCTCGGCTGCCTTGGTTTCACCTTAGAATCTTCTAGGAAGCTTTTAAGAACCCAATCACCCAGGCTATCCTCTAGGTCAATTAAACAAGAACTGTTGGAATCAAGAGCAGACACTGGTACTTTTTAAAGTTCCCCTGGGGACTCAAATGTGTAGCCAAGGTTGGCGCAGCTACTCCAATACATGACACTGGATTTTTTAAAAAATGATTTCTCCCTTGTATAACCAAATCCCATCGAGCAGGATATGGAAAGTGCCGATCAATAGATTCTAGGAGAAAATTATTTGTTGACGATAACACATATGCTGATGTGCTTGATTGAGCCAATACACAGTGTATTCTGGATGGAAAAATCTCATTTTGTTTGCTGTAATGATGTATAGTGAATGAATGTAAATAAATAAATTTTAATTTAAAAAAAAATAGATTCTAAGGGAAACGCCACTTTCCCTCCCATTTCATAAAAGACCAAACACTTGCTACTGTGCATTAAAAAAAAAAAAATGTGGAAGATGTCATAGGACAAATACCTGTGAAACATTAAGAATTCACATGCTTAAGAATGACTACAACCAGGGTGTTAAAAACAGAGAGCACAGGGCCAGAAGGTGGCATAGAGGTTAAGGCAGCTGGATCCACCATGGCCGACTCTGCGTTTCAAGTCCCAGACCCAGTGACTAGAAAATCACACTAGCGCATGTGCATGTGTGCGTGCTTAAAACCCTAAGTGAAGAATGGAAGAGAGGGAAATGAGGTGCGGCCATTCTCAGGGAAGTGATTTCTCACATTCCCCCTCTCTCTCCAGTGAGCATGTGCACCTTATGGCAAAAACTAAGAAAAAATATAAATAAAGCCAGAGGGAAAGAAGTTATGACTGTTCACTGGACATGCTACAAAGCATATTGTATCAGGTGTGAAACTAAGCGGCTGGACTGGACAAAGCCAGATCCTGGCGCCCAGGTTCTCCTGAGAGTCCCCACAATGCTCACAGCAATTCTGCAGGACTCATGACCGCACACACCAACGGCTTTCCGTAAGAAGTCACTATTTCAAGTTTATTTCCAGCTCGGGGTCTTGACCTCCCCCCAAAGTGCATTCTCACTAGACAATCACCACTTTAGCTTTCAAGCTTAAAGAAAATCAACGTTCCTTAAATGTCACACCAAACATTTTAGCTACACTTGACTAATGAGGGCTCCTGAATGTGCATATGTGCCTTGACATTATTGAGGGACAGAGTAGGGAACAGTCCAGGCTCCCCCAACAAGCAACGTTGTCCAGCAGGGTGGCTGCGTCAGAGGTGGCAGGCATCAGCCGTCTCAGCAGCTCTGGGCCCGGAACACCGTCTCTGATTCTGCCGGGCAGAGGACTGCTTTGAGAGGATAAAGTGGTGGGTTTTCACCGGATCCACTTCTAATGAAGTATTTCCTTCTCAGCATTTACTTGCCATGGTTATGCCAGGAATAATACTCAAGCCAAGCAAGATGGTGGTCTCTTCAGAAGTATGTTTCAACACTTAAAAGGTGTTTTCTTGTGAAATCTATTCATAGACTTGAAAATAACTGACCAAGTGCCTCCTGTGTGCTGGGCAGTGCAGCAGTTGAGGAACTGAGGTTACAAAACTGACAAAGGCAATAAGGTGTTGCTGGAATTCACGGAGTCACTCAGCAAACCCCAACTCCACCATGCATCAAGCCCTGACACTTCCGAGTGCCCCGACTGCTCCATCCCGCCAACAGGAACACGGGGCCACCTCCTGCACGCTTGTGTGGCTTACATGAGCTAATGCACGTAAAGTATCTGTAATAGTAGAGTAAGGCAGTCCCTGGTGCCCAAGACACTGTAAACTCAAAGCAGATGACTATTCAAGCTATCTGGTGCAGGATAATCTGAGAATAAACACATGCACAGTCATATAAAAACGGGTCCCCGGATATGCCTGCTGAGGGTGAAGCTCATGCTGTGAGCCCTCAGGATGGAGTCGGGTCCTGTGCTCCTGTGCTCCCACATCAGCAGCGGGACAGGGCCGCCCGGCTGTGTGCCGCTCCACCTTCTGACAGGACTGACCGTTCTGCCAAATGCCCAGACACACGGTCTAGCCTCATCTAACCTTGAAGAAGCACAAACACCTGGACTACATAAATACTTGAGAGCACAAACGTTCCTTCATGGAGCGGAACAAGGGCATGGGCTCTGGAAGCCACACTGCAATCCCTTCTCCTCCTTTCTCCTCTCGGGATCTTGGGCACGCACGCACACATGCTCGGCGTGAGTTTAAGCCATAGGGTCCGAGACTCGAACTGCGGTCGACTACACGGGAGTCCAGAAACACAGCCATTACACCAAATGCTGGTCCCCTTCGCAGTTTAATCTCTTAACTAGAAGCAGGTTTTTGGCAGGGTTTAGGGAGAGTCACGTGACCAAGCCACTCTTCCAAGGTCACTCATACTATGTGTGAAAATGGAAATAACATAAAACCCTGCTTTACCTGACAGCTGTATTTGAGTCATGCGAAACAAGGTGTGGGGATCATATGCAAAACTTAACGCCAGTTAACCAGGACGACAAAAATGTGCTCAGCTAGCTTTGGGAACTGTGGGGTTCTTCTCCCAGGTACGGTTCAGAGCTTGGGCAACCCATCCTAATATGATTACAATTTGTCTAAAAAGCTCTGAAAAGTCGTCTTGCTCTTTGCAAATGGGAGTAAAGTAAGTATTAAAAGCTTACTATTTTTCTCACTACAATCCTTTGTTGCTGCTAAACTGGCCAGCAGGGTAGACTGATAAATTAGGATGTGGTCAATTCCTTTAAAGATTTACCCTCCCTTTGAGAGGCAAGGCTTTCTCTTAATTTTCCAAACACTACAAAATAATTCTCTCATTTGCAACGTTTGCAAATCAATTTCACATTCTGCAGTGAATTTTACATAGTCCTAGCACTTACTACAAAAGGAGACAGGGCTGATTTAAAGTAATGAATATATTTAAATGGACACATTTTTAATACTTTAAAAATATACACGCTTTGGGGCCAGCAGGTGGCATAGGGGTTAAGGTGCTGCACTTTCACATGGTAAACCATAGTTTTAGTTCCAGACTTGGTGGCTTGAAAAACATGCTTGGTATGTGTGCATGCCCAGAATCCTGGACAGAGAATGGAGAAGGGACTATGGATGGTGTAGCCATCTCCCCTGAGGGGGTGCTTTCTCACTGTCTCTCTCTGGCAAGCACATACACCCTATAGCAAAAACCTTAAAAAAAAAACAAACATATTTTTAATACTGGGCTTCAGTAAAATAACAAGAAGCCACATGAGACCACACTAGCCCTCAGTTAAAGAATTAAGAGGCAAATTATGAATGTTAAGCAAACCAAAATCTCAGAATCTGCTGTTTCTTTTTTTTTTTTTTTGAATCACCATCAGCCAAGCTCGAAAACCCTCGTGACAAGTCCCACTTAACCATGTAGATCTAATTCCTGTACTTGGTTTCTGGACGAGTAAAAAAGAAAGAGAGGCATTCTCCCCCACCCCCCGCTCCTATTTCAAAGGTGAAGAACTTGCCGTACATGGTCTTTTATAAAAACAGCTAAAGTAATTTTCAGGAACGAGCTCTTACAGGTTCTTCCTCCTCCTTACACAATCAGTGTTTTCAGGAGCATAAAAGCTATAGGTAAAAGTTTCAAAGACTGAGGCAGAAATGTTTACTGTGTTTAACTGAATGGTCTGAAAAGCTCTCTTAAAGAATGAAAGGATTTGACCACCAAATCCAACCAAGGAACTGTGGTTAAACCACACCTGACTAGGGAAGGTAAACCAGGTCATCTATTCAGTTTTTCCTGATCACTTCTGTAACTGTAATTTGTGAGAACGACCTCAGATTACATAAATTATGAAATGGGTGCGTATTAAGTTGCAACAAAAGCACTGGTAAACAATGAGATATGGAAGTGCTACTGGGTGGAACAAATTCAAGGAGTGTCCAAACGGAAAAACACACTGGAGTGATTTCTGCCTATGCAGCAACAGGGGTCAGGCTATGACTTTGTCAACGCTCAGGGCAACATGGACCATGACCACTGCCCCCATGTGTAATTCCAAACAACAAATGAACAAAACCTACAATATTGAGACATGAAGTAAGTGTAAGAAAGCCTAACCCAATTCTGTTTTTCCCTATTGGCTATATGAATACATTTTTTAAAATTAGATACCAAATGATCACCTTAAACAACTTCTGGTATTTCTGTCTTGCTGGTGTCCTGGGTATGATGCTTAAACTGCCTATAGGCAAGATACTGGTGGCAACTACATCAAAAAAAAAAAAAAAGAGGTTCTTGAAAGAAAGATGCTCCTTTCCTTCCCAAATAGAAGCAGTAGAGAAATGTAGTCATCAACCACCTAATTTAATATATAGTGAGCAAAGAATGAACAAAGATTCATTTGGCAAGAGCTTTTTTATTGGAGAGGTTTTTGCTATTATACCGCGTGTAGGCTCGCCAGAGACACAGAAAGCGAGAAATCACCCCCCCAGGGGGGATAGCCACGCCACAATCCCTTCTCCTCCATTCTCTGCTCAGGATCTTGGGCACGCAAACACACACACACATGTGCCTGGCATGAGTTTAAGCTGCAAGGTCCGGGATTCGAACCACGGTCAACCACACGCGAGTCCAGCAACATAATCATTATGACATCTGCTGGTCCTGAGTTTTTTTTTTTTTTTTAGTAGTAAGTTAAAACTCAGCCAAGCCTTCCTTCTTCTATAATTTTTCCCCCAATGAAAAGAATTATTCAAACCAAATTTACTTCTCTTGGGAAGAGACATTCTAATCAGAACACCCTGTACTAAAAATATACCTGAGTCATTTACACTGCTGTTCCTCTTGGCATATGCACTCCGGAGCACCTGCTCATAAACCTGAGCACCGATTGTTCTCACGTTGTCCCGGATCAGAATGCCTTGAGCTTGCATCATGAAGAGGTAGGTGTTCACTGCGGAAAACAGAAGGGGGGGAGAAGAGCTGAATTCAAAAGTAATTAGGAACAAGTGTAACTCTGTAACTTGGGGTTTCTTTTTCCTTCTTGGATCTTTCCGCTCTCACAGGGCCAGGTGGTGGCTGATGGTAACACAACTGGAGGCACATGGGAAAGACCTGGTTTTGTGCCCTGGAACCCCCCTCATCCCACACGTGTCTGTGGTGGGTAAGACTGGGGATGGACTGGCACCAGGACCTTGTTAGGGATGCCTTTCTGTCTCTCTCTCTGATGTGGAAGAAATAAACTTTTAGAAAAAGAATTATTTTATTTAACTTTATTTACTTACTCATTTTATTTTGACCAGAGAGGAACTGACCGTGAGAGAGAGAAAGAGATGGATGCAAACCACCAGGTCTGGGACTCAAACTACAGGCAGCCGTGTGGGAGTGCAGCACCCTTAACAACCACCATGCCACCTGCTGGCCCTGAAATAAACTTTAACAAAGCAAAAAGCAAAACCGTCTTTCGGCTCTAAAATTCTACCAGGCCGTAACTCTATTCTCCAGACCAGGTTCAATGTTTTCAGGACATTAACATTCCTTAGGTAACTAGTAGGGCTTGAAGGAATTTCTGTCAATATTCAACAGTTTTAGAAAAACAATAAACTTAAAAAATTATCTTCCACCTGGTCTCTAAATACCCAAATCTGTATTCTAGCACTGTGATGATGAGAAGGACAAATGAATTCATTAAAACATCTTTTAAAGGTTTCTGTTCTTTTTAAGTTCATGTTTCAAAATGTGGGGGGCTGCGAGCTGGGAAAGCTCTGACAACTCGTCCCAGGAGACACACTTCATGTAGGTGTCAAGGACCTACATCAAGAGGCATCAAGGACCTTTTTGGGAAGGAGAGTAGTGGACTTAGGGAAAAAAAAAGTGGGGAGCTAACTAGAGAAAGCCAGCAGACCTCACTGCCCACCTGGCTCTGCCCAAGGCTCCAAAGCAACAAGGCGAGGGCCATGGCAGCACAGTTCACGTGGCGATCAACACTGCTCATTAATATTTCCAGCCCAACTGGCTAGTCAGTCAACATCTCCGCAGTGCTCTGGCTGGGATCACCTCCACATCTGGCTGCACTCCAGCCTAGGTGTCGGGCACTCCTCCTCACTCAAAGTACCTGGCCTCAGGCTGTCAATCCTGGCTTTCCCACAAGACATTTGTTGACATTCTGTTTCATCATTATGGTCTGTGTCCTGCACAGAATGGCCAGTAGATAACAACTGGAGGAAGCAAAGCCTTTGGGAAAGAGTAATGCCATGTTTTCCATTTGCAGCGTATAGCACAGACCCTGGTGGCAGTGCATGGGCAGCCCCAATCTGTCACCGAGATTTAAACTTCGCCCAAAATAAAATTTCTGATCGGTTCTGTGTATGTTTTAGGTTTACTCATTTATTTCTTCCATGAGCGAGAGACAGAGAAAGGTACCTCCCACCCCTGCACCAGCAGGCACACCAGCACAGCAGGGAGGTTCCAGGAAGAGAACCCGGGACCTTCCCCATGGGGCCTGCTCATGTCACTGCTGCACCACTGCTGGGCCCCTAGTTCTGCGCTGTTCCCACTGCCCTGCAATCATCATCCCCAACATACTAAACCAGGTGTCTTCAACAACATAAACCAAGTATTTCCTGAACACTCTGCAGAAAGCAAGCTTTCGGCTAGGAACTGCAAAGAACTTGCTGTCTTCTGCACAACAAAGACCGCGGTTGTTTAGTCCCTCCTTTACTATGTTAGCTTCAGATTCTAGAATCGCAACTACTAGATTCCTCTAGGGCAGTCGTTCTCAAACCTTTCCCTGCCTAACCCTAAGAAGGCTTTCTGAAGCCTGCTTCCTAGACCCCATCCCAAGAGACTCTATGCTGAGTAGGGCCCACGAATCTGCACGTGTATCAGTCCTCCTGGGTATCTGACACTGCTGTTCTGAGGACCACACTTCTCCAGACATGGTCCTGTGAACTTCAGCCATATAACAATAGTAGTATGCACTGGCACCTTGTGGCCTGCTGGTGAAGGGAGCCAGATCACACATGTCTGACTGCAGGCTGCAACCCAGTCCAGAGGCTTGGAAAACACACTGGGTGCATGTGCATGTCCCAAATCCCAACAGGATGAAGAAGTGGAGGAGAGGGGATTGTATGTGACCATGTCCACTGGGCAGTGTTTTTTCCCTCTCTTTCCTTCTGGCAAGCACATGCACCCTCTGGCAATAAAAAATAAGTAAATAGTACGCAACATTTAGCAAGCACTTAATTATGTACCTCTTTATCTCATTTAATCCTCATAATTACCCTAAAAGACAAGTAATATATCCAATTTACAGTCATCTTCTAGGTTTCAGTTTCTCCAAGGTCACAAACTGACGGCTGGGATTTGAACCAAGTGTGTCTGCGTTCCTGACTACAAAGCATCATGTTCACGCACAGTCTAGCTACACCCTCTCCCTCGAAGATCTCAAGCACCTCCGCAGCTGACATGATGCTTATTAAGGAGACAGCATTCAAACCTTTATGTCTCCTGCACAAAGCCTCAGAGGCATCTTTAATTACAGATCTGTCCGTACTGCTCCAGCTTTAAAAGTCTCCTTACCATAGGACTCCAGAAAGTTCAAGGGGCACCTGTGGTGGTGGTGTGGTGATGAAATGCTCTTGCAAAACTCACCCCAGGCAGGGTGCGAGGCTGTGTCCTGAGCCCTACCGCTGTGTGCCAGGTACACGTGTGCCCATGATCCAGGCTGGAGCTGATCGTGGCATGGGGACCCTGTTGGGGTACTTGATTCCCTTTCTCCCTCCTCTCACAGAAGAAATACTTTTTTAAAAGGTCCATGGGAAAATGGAATTAAAGCTAAAGTTTATTTTGCACAAAAAAATTTCTTAAAATCCATGCACTGATTTTTCATAATATACATTTTCCATGAACCTTCTGAAGATCTTTGCATGTCTTGTGCCTTCAGCCCCCAGCTGCTACTGACCTGCAGTGGCTCTGCTCTTTCTGCCATGCAAATCCTACTAATCCCTGAACTCTTCTCGCACTCCCAGAGGAAGCCTCAGGGGTGTGCTGGCTCAAGTCATGCCATAATCTGCCACAGAAGACATGAACTTCATATGCAAAGAAATGAGCCTCAGGCGTTCTAACACGGAAATGTACAAGCTCCCAAAAGTAAATGACTCCATATAACAATACACTTTGTTAATTACTGGTTGTTCTCACTGTTCAGTACATTTGGTTTATTCTTCCACATCCTCTTTTATTTGATGATCTGAAAAATTCTGTTCTTCAGTAACAACTGAGGTTTTGTTTTATTATTTTATTTGTAGGGGAGGGGGCTTTTTGCAGAGCCCATGGTTTCAATCACAATAAAGACTAAACAAAATTATGAAAGTAAAAAATAATTGGCTTTTGTTTGATTGTGTCTTAGTTTGCTAAGTGTTATCTCGAATGTTAGTCTTGTTATTCAACTAGAAAATCTACACAGACCACACATTTTAATGCTTTTCCTAATTATCTGCAAAAAACTACCACGATGCTGAAAAAATTTAAAAACGAAGGATATCAACACTGTCAAGTAAAAAGAAATAACCACAAATTCATGGGCCCAGGATGGACAGAAATTGTCAAGAACATCTTTACCATCTAATGCTTCCACTGAACCCAGAAACAACTTCACTCAAGCACAGACTCAACACCCAAACACAACCACCTGCAAAGAAAATGTAGCTCTGAATAGAGTCCAAAATGTTCCCCACTCTTAGCCGCTGGTGTACTTTTGACCTTACTCTGCCATCCTGAGCAGCTCGTTTCTGTATATGCCCCTCCCATGGTACAGACAACCCTCCCCAACCCCAGATGCTCTCTGAAGGCTGGCCCAGTTGTCTACACTTGACAAGGGTGGTGCCCACGCTGATAGAGTGGTCCAGGTGCAGTCGGGTGAGCCCAGTCACAAGCAAACCCACCAGCAGCCCTGTTCTATCTGTTACCAAAGAGCTGTCAACTCCGGCCTCCTCGTGGGATTTGCAATACACAAAACACAGAAATCCCCAGAACGGGACCAGCAGATTGCATAATGGTTACGTCACTGGACTCCAACGTAGTCGACCACAGTTTGAGTCCCAGCCCCAGTGGCTTAAAACTCACGTCAGGTACATGTGCATGCCCACACAAAATCCCAAGAGAAGAATGGAGGAGAAAAATGGGTGGCCATTGAGATATGGCCATCCCCCTGGAGGGTGATTTCTCGCTTTCTGTCTCTCTGGCAAGTACATGCATCCTATAGCAAAAATCTCTAAGATCAAAAAAACCCTAACCCGCCAGCTCCCAAACCAGCATTCCTCACTGCAGCGGAACCAGTAACAACATCAGTTATTTTCTACAGAACTCACTTTGGAAAATTCTGTTTTACATATTTTAATTAACAGACTTTAAAATTTCTATTCCATAGTTAGGTAATCAATCGATACCTGCTGAATGTTGTTGGTAAAATGGTAGTCACAACATATTATCGATCCTTACTAAGCTTGCTGAAGGCAAAATCCCCTTAATCTTATGAGATGTGGCTGTTAAGCAGCCCTTGTCCACTTCTGTGTTCATACAGCTGTTATATAGACAAACCACAGGGACTTACAAGTGCCCCTATAAAAAGTCTTGTTACTAAATTTAGCCCATGGCCTTGGCCTAAGCTAGGAAGTCTAAATGTATATACACATCAATTTCTTTTTTTCATAATTATTTTATTTAACTTCATTTATTATTACTATTATTTTAAATTTGACCAGAGAGAGACAGAAAGAGAGAGAAGGAAAGTGAAAAAACAAGCCACCTGGTCTGAGAGTCGAACTGTGGTCAGCCATGTGGGAGTCCAGTGCCTTTAACCACCACACCACTTTCTGGCCCCACATACACATTGATTTCAATCTAAATTATAACATTCGAAATTCACCTCTATTAACCAGATAGCATCTTGATTTTTTATTTCAGATTAGAAGAGGTTAAGTCCTCCAGACATAATTTACTCAAGGTCATAGGGTTAGTGAAGTCAAAAACCAGAGGTGTGAAGTTAGGTTCTACACGCAATGTGAAAACTGAAAAAGCAGGACTTTCCAATAGCATAGTCCTGATTGTAAGGAATGGGTCAACTACACAAGAAAACAGAAATGTAGAGCCTTTATTGGGAGCACTCTTGGATGAGGTTCACTGGTCTGACAGAAAGAGAGAGGGGGCCAGAGAAGTGGTGCGCTAGGGCGGGGCTTAGCGACTTTTACAAGGGTATAGGGAGAAGGAGTGTCTTAGAGGTAGAAAGAGTCCATGTATAGTAAAGGTTTAGGGGGAAAGCAGACTACTGTGCCATGAAAGGTCTGGCAATGCGTGCACAGTAGAGCACCGTGTGCAGAGTAGAGTGCCATGTGCAGAGTAGAGCACTGTGTGCAGAGTAGAGCACCGTGTGCTACATCTGGATTAGAACCAAGTGCAGCATGGATCTGATGACAGACTAGATCCGGGTTGCATCAGCCAACTGGGGGGTGGCGTCTAACCCCACAACCGAACTCCCCAGGCTCCAGCCTAATATTAATCAACAGTGGCTGAGTCACGGTTAAAAAATAATGATCATTTTAAAAAAGATTTTAAATTTGCATTGTTATATCCTCCACTGTCCCAATAGGTGCCTACTATGTGCCTACTCTCCTGTGGACACACCACCAAGCCACTGGAGCCCAGGGACAAGCACAGTGACACAGAATGAGACAGACACATTCCAACAGGAAGCACTGTGCAGCCTGACAAATGCTAATGTGACAGCAACACAAACTCAAGCTCTTCACATTTCATGAGACATTGTAATCATCACCTGGTCCTAGAATTCATGTTAAGGAGCACTTTGAACCATAACTCAGAAGAGAAAGGTGCATTCCATTCAAGTTCTCACAATTAGAGATGACCGCGAATCGTAATTCAGTTAAGAAGAGCACATCCCATTCAAGTTCGCACAATTGAAGATGGCCGGCGGATGTCTGGGTAAGCAGCCTTGAGCCATGGCTTAAAAGAAAAAAAATTATTTACTTGTTTGTTTGTGTGTTTATCTGTCATGATTTTCCAGCTGCCCAGCCATGGCTTTAACTGGAGTTTCCAGGAGCAAAGAGCTGGTCTCCTGCCCTTCCTGGGCACCTGCTGACCACACACAGAGACTTTCTTCCTCTTTGTCCTTGATTGAAACAGGAAGACACAACCTCGCCTCTCCATTAGATGCCCTTGTAGATCAGGTAGCACACCTTGAACACACACATTAATAATGACTGTGACTCATAAAAATTCCTCACAAGATCATGATACCTGACTTTCCAGCCTAGGAGCAGAATAATCTGAACCCAAGAGAAAAAAAAAAACATTCTATACATTTAAGAGTTCATAATCTTGGGGCCAGCAGAGGGTGTGTAGCAGTTACATTGCTGAAGTCCCACATGATCAACTGCAGTTCAAGTCCCGGACCTGGTAGCTGGAAACTAATGCTGGGAGCAGGTGTGTGCCTACAATTCTGGGAAGAGAATGGAGGAGAAAGGACTGTGGTGTGGCCATCCCCCTGGGGAGTGATTTTTCACTTTTCCTTTCACTGTCTGTCTATCTGCCTCCCCCTTAGCGAGCACATACGCCCTAAGGCAAAACTTCTTTAAAAAAAAAAAAAAGTTCAGGGCATGGTGTCTGTCTGTCTATCTGTCTCCCCCTTAGCGAGCACATACGCCCTAAGGCAAAACTTCTTTAAAAAAAAAAAAAGTTCAGGGCATGATGGCGCCCGCCCTATGGCAAAAAAAAAAAAGTTCATAATCACCTTACCCTAAAAGTGTGTATCATCAACATTTCCTACAGCTGGCTTGGTAAGCTAAAAGCATAGTGCAGAAAGTGGTCCCAAAAAGTCCTTTCCAATCCGCTTCTTGCTGCCAACATACACACGCACGCACGCACACATGCACACACACCACCCTTTTCTGCCTCTCTAATTTGTGTCCTACATGACCGTAAGTGTATCACGTCCCTGTCTAGAACGTGTGCTCCATGCGGGCAAGGACTGCTGTCTAGTTCCTTCACTGCAGTTCCTGGCAGCTAGCAGGCTGTGTCTGGAACATGGAAGATGCACAATAAATGCCTGAATAAATGAGAACCATGGGACAACACACGGCTGCATCCTCCAAACTCAGCTGTGTGTAAGAAGGCTCGGACATGGGACTTCCAGCCTTTCTCTTTACTTTGCCCCACACTTCCTTTTGAGGAGCCCAAGATGGCGGAAGTTAACAAGCTTCACTGTACTCACCTGTTCTAAGAAAAGCTAGGAAATGCTTTCCACCAATTGAGCAGCGTTGCCAAATAGATTAGCTATCCTCAAAAAAGGTTCCATCGTGGGAACCAGCAGTTAGCGTAATGGCTATGTAGCTGGACTCCCACGTAGTCGACCGCGGTTCGCGTCTCGGACCCGGTGGCTTAAATCTCACGCCGGGCGCGTGTGAGTGCGTGCCCAAGATCCCGAGAGGAGAATGGAGGAGAAGGGATTGCGGCGTGACCATCCCCCCTGGGGGGGTGATTTCCCGCTTTCTGTCTCTATGTCTCTCTCTGTCTGTCTGGCGAGCGCACGCGCCCTATAGCGAAAACCTCTCCAAAAAAAAAAAGTTCCATCGTTGTCATTTCTCACGAGGCTTTTTAAAACATGTTCCTAGGCAAGCCCCGTGGCCTACTAGTTAAGGGAGCCAGATCCCACATGGTGGGCTGTGCAGTTCAAGCCCCAGACCTGGCAGCTTGAGAAACATGCTGGGTGTTTATCATGCGTGGCCCAAATGCCAACGGCATGGAGAAATGGAAGAGAAGGGACTGTTGCGTGTTCATGGCATCCCTACAGCCCACCCACAAACCCCATGTGCAAAGCACCCGATGGCAAAATTTTTTTTAAAGAAAGGAATAAATAGAAGAAAACGAGAAGGGCACTCACTCACTTCACATACGCTTGTTCTCTCTTCCTCTCTCACACATATAAGGTACAATAAAAATTAAATAAAAACAAAAATATATGTTAAAAAAAATTGGGAGGTTTGATATTTTGCCGTGATTAAATATCTACAAAACTTGCACTACTTTTCTGATACCGTGTTTCCTGAGAGAAGCGAGAACCTGAAAAATAACTGAACTCCATGCCCAAACGGACAGGGAGGACCTGTGCTGCTCTGCACGACAGGTGTCTTGAAAAGAGCCAGCATGCTTATTCGGCCACAGAGGTCAATTCCTCTACCAGGAGGGGAACCTGCGGAGCTCTGTTTAGGTGCAGTACCTTTCTGAAGGCCTGTGTGTGCTATTTCCTCCTCACAGTAAGGGAGCCAGGCTGCTCTGGGCGATGCGGGAACTGCGGTGTGAAGAGGCAACCTGACCGCGTAGCCAGCATCTCACAGCAGCTCTGTCTCCAGAGGCCAAGATCTTGACGGGCTCCATCACCTTGGTGTGCTCAGTCCCGAGTCCCCAGCTACTATTCCCACGCTTTCCTTACGGACCCCTCTGATCTGAATCGTTACCGTCAATACTTCACATCCAACTGGCTTAAATACACCACGGCGGTAGAGGGGGCTGATACTCACCACCTAGCGCGACACATCCTGACAATTCTTATGTTTTGTAAAACTGGGACAGTCTGAAATTTTAGTATGGACCATTAAGGTTTTCTTTGCGTTTCAGATCTACTTAAAATGTTGGACTTGGGGCCAGCAAGTGATGTGAAGTGACGTGGAGGTTAAGGCACTGGCTCCCACATAGCTGACTCTGTGGTTCAAGTCCTAGACACAGTGGCTTGAAAAATGACACCGGGTGTGTGTGTGTACCCAAAATCCCAAGAGGAGAAGAAGGGATTGTGGTGTGACCATCACTCCAGAGTGTGGTTTCTCACTTTCCCCCTCTCTCTAGCAAGCACGTGCCCTATAGCAAAATACTAAAAGAAAACCAAAAACATTGGATGTCCATACTATGCACTAGGAAACACTGAGAGCCAAGGATGTGGGTCCTAGTAACACATGTAAGAAGAAAATACCATGTTGTTTTTTTTTTTTTTTTTTTTTTAAGAGGCAAGAACTTTCTTGGCAACAAATTTACACCCATTCTCACATCTATTTAAATGTTTTGCAGCAATTTTGTGACAGTTATCACACAAAAGGTGCTTAAAGGAAGCTGGGGGTAGAGGAAGACACACACAGAGTAAAGAATCTCAAAAGTTATTCCGGGGAAAATCTTCATTTGATGATCTTTTGCTCTCCTAGCCATTCTGATTCGAGGCAGAAAACTACTAGGTAAATTCCAGGTTATGTCTCCCATCCTCTCTAGCTATTAACCCTACCTGTTAGAAAAAAGAAAAGTGATAAAGATGAACAGCTTTGAAATATCCTGTAAACATTTCCACTGACCTGTTAGTCTACTATCTGCTAAATTATTAAGTTGTACTTAAGATTAGACATGAAAATGCTGTCTAAACAGATAACAACCAGCTAGGTAGCCTGTGCCAATCACGGAACTGATGCAAGCTTCAGCTTTGTTCCTCCAAAATTCTTGATAGCATGACCAGCCCTCAGAAGTGCCAACATCCAGCTATGCGGACATATCCACTCACAGGAAAGGAGCTCAGCAAACGAGTGCCCAACTTTTACCCACGACTTGAATGGAACCATGGCCAGAGAAAACTGTAGCCTTTCTGGTGCTGTTGACACTGGAATGGCCCCTCTACAAGACGTGCTGGGGAACACGTGTGAGGCGCCAGAAGCGGGGCAGCACTGCTCTCTGGAGCGGACACAGAACCAAGGCTCTGTCTCCCTCTCCTGCCCAGCTGTTCCCTCCTCTGCCTCGTGGTTCCAGCCTACCACTGATGAGGCCCTCCTCTGTGCCAAGGTGCTCTGGCGACACCTGTTCATCCTGAGCTTCACTGTCACTTAGCTGTCCCTGATACCATCCCATTCTCAAGGTCAGAACTGCTCACTCCCATTATTGGGCACTTTCGCATCTGACACAGAGAAACTGGAGTGTGCCCCCCTCTCTTTCTTCCAATAGGCTGCCTGCTCCCTTAGAGTACAGACTATCTTATTCTTTTTTTTTTCTTCTATAATGTCTGATGAACAACAGGCTGTCTATTATCAAGAAATGAATGAATTACAACACCCATGTGCTGTTATGGCCATGTGGTGAAGTGTTCCCAAGTTAGGAGTACACTGGTTATCTGCAACAACACACGATTCTGTGACCCAGAAAAGGATTAGTAAAAACCATACTAACTTTTCTGGTGTAAGTATAAATTATAGTATATAACCCTTTAGGAAAGCGATTTGCAAATTCAAAAAGTAAAATGATCATACCTCCTGACCTGGCAATTAAAAAGGAAATTATCCCAAATATAAGGACATGCTATAAAGCTCTTTGTTAAATTATTTCTATAAACAAAATCTTGGGGAACAACTAAAAATCAACAATAAAATAACAGCTAAGTACACTTTGATACTTACAGAATCTTACACAGCTTTAAAAGTTATAAGGATGGGACCAGCAGTTAGTGTAATGGTTTTATGTCGCTGGACTCCTACGTAGTCAACCACGGTTCAAGTCCTGGACCCAGTGGCTTAAACTCACGCCGGGCGCGTGTATGTGCGTGCCCAGGATCCTGAGGGGGGAATGGAGAGCGGACTGCAGCGTGGCCATCCCCCCTGGGGGGTGATTTCTTGCTTTCTGTCTCTCTGTCTCTCTCTCTCTCTGTCTGGCGAGCGCATGCACCCTATAACAAAAAACCTCTCCAATAAATAAATAAAGTGATGAGGACTTATAAACAGAATAAATATATAAAGGCACTTCAAAACATTGTGGAAAATGAAATTAAAGTTTGTTTATTTTGATGGAAAGAAAATATTTCCATTGTCAGAGAATAAGAGAGACAGCCAGCTAGTCAGCCAGACAAAAAGCACCCCTACAATGGGGCATGGTCGTGCAGCAATCCCTTTCCCTCCAAGGGCAGAAAACATTTCAGAGACAGAAGAAGAAAGCGCCCAGCCATGGGCATGGTCACACAGCACTTTCTTCTCTATTTCTCTGCCCTGTCAAGATTTGGGGCATGGGGATCAGCAGTTGGTGTAATGGCTATGTCACTGGACTCCCACGTAGTCGACTGCGTTTTGAGTGCCGGATCGGTGGCTTAAATTCACACCGGGCGCATGGGCATACGTGCCCAAGATCCCAAGAGGAGAACAGAGGAGAAGGGATTGTGGCGTGGCCATCCTCCCTAAGGGGTGATTTCTCGCTTTCTGTCTCTCTGTCTTTCTGGCAAGCACATGTGCCCTATAGCCAAAAAAAAAAAAATTTTTTTTCAAGCTGCCAGGCCCAGGATTTAAACCCTATGGTTAGCCATGAGGGATCTGACTCCCTTAACTACTAGGCTATGGGGCTGGCCCCTCCATGAACTTTAAGGCCCTTCGTGTAACACTTGGCATAGATTATCAAACTCTTAACATGAAAAAGTTCTGTCAAATGATAACGGTTTAAGACTAAGTTTATCTAGGGCCAGCAGGTGGTGCGGCGGTTAAGAAGCTGGATCACCCAAAGCTGACTCCATAGTTCAAGTCCTGGATGTGGCGGACTGAGAAACTTACCTGGTGCATATGCATGCATGACAAAATTCCAAGAGGAGAATAGAAGAGAAAGGACTGCAGGTGGCCATTTCCCCAGAGGGTGATTTCTCACTTTCCCCTCTCACTCTGCCTCTGGTGAGCATACTTGCCCTATGGCAAAAATCTAAAAAATATATTTTTTAGGGAAAAAAAAAAAGCATATGCATAGGCTAAAAAGAACTAGAAGCAACTTTACCAATAAGCTTAGGTGTCAGAGGGTATAACTGTGATGTGAGTTCATTGTTTTTTCTTCCATTTTTCCAATTTTATCTACAACTTGTTGTTGCTGTTCTTTTTAAATATATAATGGGGAAAAATAAAGAACTCCATTGGGCAAACTGAATTTATCCAACATGACAATAAACATCAATAATCAAAACATTCACGATTCCATTTTCTGCTTGTCGGGCTAATGAGGGAGGGCGGTGTCAGGGTGGGCATGCAAAGTGTGCAGGGAGTCGGCAATACAGTGTAAAGCAAACTGTTCAGGATCTAACCAACAGCTCCTACCTTCGGTATTCAGCCTTCAGAAATACAGGCACACACCACAGGCCAGTGTGTCCACAGACTGCATACAGGTCGGTGGTCCCATGAGATTACACCGCAAAGCTTGGTGTGTAATAGCTATACCATCTGGGTTCCTGTGCGTGCGCACACTCCAAGATGATCACACAATTAAGTCATGTGTAACACATTTCTTGGGAGTATCTCTGTGGTTCAGTGTGACTATACTGCTTACACAGCTATAACTGGACAAATAAGAGTGCTCAAGGATATTTACTGACTTTTTTTTTTTTTGCTCTAGGGCCTATGCACTCAAGACAGAGAGAAAGAGAAAGCATCCCCCGCCCCATGGTGATAGAATACGCTGCAATCCCTTCTTTCTTGGGATTTTAGGCACGTCACATATACACACATGTCCAGCTATAGGTCTGGGACACCAACCACCCAGATCACCATGTGGGATCCAGCCACCTTAATCTCCATGCCATCTGCTGGCCCCTGAAGTACTACTTACAAACGTAAAACTGTAAACCTGTCTAAACATACAACTGGAAGGACTCGGAAAAATAAATTGTGGCAAAATTATATCATGGCAAACTAAGAATCATCTGGAGGACTGGAGGAAGGAGACCGTGGAGAGACTAGATCCTGTGGAAGACACTCATTACTCTCTTTCACGTCACATTCACATGTTCTATCAACTAAAATAATTTTTTAGGAACCAGCAGTTAGGAATAATGGCTAGTTGCTGGACTCTCATGTAGTCGACCACAGTTCAAGTCCCGGAGCGAGCACACGTGCATGCCCAAGAACCCAAGAGGAGAATGGAGGAGAAGGGATTGCGGCGTGGCCAACCCCCCTGGGGGGTGATTTCTCCCTTTCTGTCTGTCTCTCTCTTTCTGGCGAGCGCATGCGCCCTATAGCCAAAAAAAGAAAAACTCTCCCCCCAAAAAATTTTTTAAGACATTATACATTAAGACATTCATTAACAGCATAGACCTCTACTAAGTAGAATTTAAGGTCATCTACACTTTGCTTTTTTTTTTTTTTTTTAAGATTTTTGCCATAGGCATGTTCACTCACTGGGGAAAGATTGAGAGAGAGAGAGGGAAAGTAAGAAACACCCTCCAGGGGAGAGGGCCACACCACAATCCCTTTCTCCTTCTTTCTCCTCCTGGGTTTTGGGGCACGCAGATACCTGTGACTGGTGTTGATTCTCAAGCCTCCAGGTCTGGGACTGAAACTGCGATGGGCCACATGGGAGTCCAGTGCCCAACCATCATGCCACCTGCTGGCCCTTGCACTTCCTCTTTGCCACAGTGCAGTGTCTCTGACTGTCAGAGCACACCTCTACCCCTAATGTGATAAAGCAGGTCTCTGTTCCAACAGTGAAAATTCTGGCAGTAACTCAATGTTTGAATTGATTAACCCAAATTCAAAGTCTCCAGAGTTACTGAGACGTCTTTTTTCACACTGCACCTGTTTAATATCTACAAACACACTTCAGGGGAGTGCCTTAGGACATGGTCTTTTCTTCTTTCTTTTTCATTCCTTATTTTTAATTTGTCATGGAGAGTATGCACTTGCTAGAGAGAGAGAGAGAGAGAGAGAAAGCACCACCATGGGTCATGGGCACCTAGCAATCCCTTCTCCGGCACTTCTCCATCCTTTGGGGAGTTTGGGCATGCACACACACGCACCTGGTGTGTTTCTCAAGACACAAGGTACAGGACTCCAACCTCAGTCATGTGGAATCCAGCTGACCCAATCACCACACTGTCGATGGAAACAAGCCAACTCTGCAAAAGTAATAATTAATGCGGTTTATTTCTAAGCACGAATTTGAGTGACCTAGGCCAGGCGAGGAGGCAAAACATGCCTTTCTCAGGGTGACCAGGTACAGAGGTTCCTTTTATTTGATTTTGAGAGCTAGAGAAAGAGTTTGGAATTTAGTGAAGAGTTTTTCCATTGGTCTGGCCCAAAAGGTTTTCCCTTGGTCTGGGCCAAAAAAACGGGATATGTGGAAGAGGGTGGCTTATAGGTTATAGGTGGGTTTTACAGTTTTTAGTTTGGTCATTGGAAAAGAGAGGTTACTGAAATCAGAAAAGAATGTACTTTAACAGAGATAAGGAGGCTTAATATACATCACAAAGACTAGCCAGGGACAGGCTGTAGAAGAGGCCTGCACCAATGGATCAAGATGGTCTGCTAGGGACCAACGGTGGCGTGGTGGTTAAGGTGCTGGACACTCCCACATGGCTGACCAGGGTTCGAGTCCTGGACCTGGTGGCTTGCTTTCTCACTTCCTCTCTCTCTCACTCTCACCCTCTGTCTCTCTCTTGTCAAATTTTAAAAATCAATGAATGAATAAATAAAAAATAAAATAGTTATTTAAAAAAGATGGCCTGCTAATGTTTGTGGCCTTGCCTCCCTCCAGGCCCTCAGGAAAGAACTCTGGAAATAGGAAAAAAGCATTCAGACTTTTAAGTGGGCTGGCCCCATCTTTTCATGTTTCTAAACAATGACTACACAGTTTTGTATTGTGGAGTGGGGGGTGGGAGTAGGTATAAAATACAACCAAGGTTTTGACTTAACTTCTTCCCCTTCAATGCTCTAGGCCCAAATCAATTCCCTGATCCCAAATCATTAGTCCACTTCCACCTACACTAAGTGATGCATAAGTATTCTAAATCGCTGGTGCTTGCAGCTTTAACTTGACCAAGTAAGTTCCCTCCATTCAGCCTCGATCCATCACATCCTGCCATCAACTGTTGCTTGGTCTTCCTCCTGATCTTCTAGAAAGGTTATTCTTTTTGTACAGTAGGAATAATGTATTATAATCACATTACTGTTAGCCTGGAGGACAGTAATAGACTAATGGGGTTACCTACTCTTCCGTAATTTAAGTGTTTCCAAGAAGGCATCATTCCAGCTGATATTAATGCTCTATCGTCACGCACATTGAAATGAGAGCCACATTTTCCATAGAAAAGCAAAAGATATCAAAGGCACTTGAAGACTGCTAGCCTCGAAAGCTTAAACACTTAACAAAACAAGGTCTTCTCTTAACACACTGTGGGTATGAAACCCTTCCTCCAATCTAGATGGCCTGTCTTCAGGAAACACCAACTAAAGGCTTAGAAAGGCGTTTTGAGTTAGGTAGAATGTTTTTTTTTTTTTTAGAAAGATCTCTGCGGTACAACAATGGAACAGTGAAGTACTGGCTTTTGTAAATATACACTTGTTGAGGAGACTCAGTACCTGATTTCTCTGTGGGAATCCTGCACTTTGTTAGGTAGAAAGTTTTTTTTTTTTTTTTTAATTTCAAAACTATGGAACACTTCAAGAATGTGCGTGTCATCCCTGCGCAGGGACCATGCTCATCTTTTCTTAGCGTTCCGGTTTTAGTGTACGTGCTGCCGAAGCGGGCACAGTTCCATGGAATGGTGATGTACGTCTGTCATCCATGACACACCGCATCTTTCACTTGGTCTAGTTAGAATGATCACAGTAAGCTTCCTTTCTGTAGCTAAGTGATGTTCACATGTTAAAGCTATTAGAGGCCCACCAAGTCCACAGAAACAGAAGTGCCAAGCTACTCTGCAAGGGAATGTGGGAACAGTGCAACGACTGGTCAAAACTTGTAAACTGTATTCTGGAACATTAAACACAAATTCTTCCCACAGATTACTTCATTGCAAAGAATTGAATACGCTTACAATGGAGAGATCAGACAGGCACCTTTAAAACCAAAGGATTAAGGGGAACCAGCAGTTAGCGTAATGGCTATGTCGCTGGACTCCCACGTAGTCGACCGCGGTTCGCGTCCCGGACCCGGTGGCTTAAAACTCACGCCGGGCACGTGTGCGTGCATGCCCAAGATCCTGAGAGGAGAATGGAGGAGAAGGGATTGCGGCGTGGCCATCCCCCCTGGGGGGTGATTTCTCGCTTTCTGTCTCTATGTCTCTCTCTGTCTGTCTGGCGAGCGCACGCGCCCTACAGTGAAAATCTCTCCAAAAAAAAAAAAAAAGGATTAAACCAGGTATCATTAACATTGGAGCAAGTTAATATTATCTTCAAAGTATTTTTGCCAAACACTTAAAAAAAAAAAAAAAGCTTATTATTTTTAAATTTGTTATACGGCACGTGTGCTCACCAGAAAGAGAAAGAGAAGGAAAGTGAGAAAACAAGCCGCCAGGTCTGGGGCTCGAGCCATGGTCAGCTATGAGGGAGTTCAGCACTTTGATTACATCACCTGCTGGCCCTGCCATTTTAATCTAGCTCTAGTCAGACTTTTTAAATGGTCTTCTGGTCTATAGAAGTGCACGGGGTTAAGGAACACATCAAAGTGGGCATGTGCCTGGGATGCTGACAGGATGGAGAGCTAGAGGGGCATGACCAAGGACCGCAGGGGGCATCTCTCTCTCTCTCTCTCTCTCTCTGCTTTAACTTTTTTAATGCCAGAGAGGGAGAGGCATTCAATGGCTCTTCTGTGTACCACCCCCGTCAATAGTCATTATCTGGTTTCTGAAAAAGAATTGCCTTTACTCTTTACCTGTAATTTCACAGGAGAGCTAAATTACAAATAAAATCCTCCTGTTGTTCCCTTGCTGAGTCTGAGTGACTTTCCACCTCTGCCAGGGTCAAATCCAAGTTCCTCGTGTTTGGCATGACTTAGCAGGGTCATAAAACCCGGCCCCTGCCTCTGCAGTTTCAGCTCCTGCCACTCCTGACTGACTCCAGCTGTAAAGGACTAGCAGCCGTTCTCTGGAACCAGCCAAGATCTGACAATGACACACAGCCTGAGACTTCAAAAGGGCAGAATTCTAGGGGGAGGAAATCACCTATCATCGTAAAACAAAAGCTTGAGCTCCGGTGGAAGGGGGAGGGAAGGTGACAGAAGAAAAGAGGCGGAGACTCTGCCAGACCGCCCGCAGCGCTGCCCCCTCCTTCTCATCCAGGGTTCCTATGGGGGCTACCCTATGGCTCTCTAGTCACATACCTGCAGCCTTACCAAAAAAATAATAATAATGAAACTAATTCCTGACATTGCTGCTACTCAGACAAAAATAAATCCTCAAGCCTATACATTCCACCACCAAAACAAAACAAAACAAAACAAAACAAAATATCACACTGACGAGGTTGAGTTAAAATTAAGTAAGCCTGGGGCCCGCAGGTGGTGTGGTGGTTAAGGGCGCTGGACTCCCACATGGCCAACCATGGTTCAAGTCCCAGACCTGATGGCTTGCTTTCTCGCTTTCTCTCTCTCTCTTTCCCCACCTCTCTGGTCAAATTAAAATAAAAATAAAGTTAAATAAAATAATTACATTTTTTTTTAATTCCGTAAATCCAAAGGCCTTGTATGTAACACTGATCTTACGCTGCCAACCCTATAGTCTGAAATGCAACAAAAATTAATTACAGCTCTCTGTAATAGATTTAGCGCTTTATTTTTAAATATTAACAAGACGCCAGAGGGAGTTTCTAAAGGGATAAGAATCCTAAAGGTGCCTCCTCGTTTACTCAGAGGCCAATTAACAGTTCCCACCTCACCCGACAGCCCTCTGGGTGCTCCAAGTCCCTGCGTATTGAGAGCAGGCGCCTCTCCCCAGAGGCAGAGCGGATCACCTCACCGCGCCAGGGCTGCAGAGTGCAGGGGCCAAAGCCTCAGGTGTCACAACTGCCTGAGCACACGACAATCTTCATATTTTGTTTTTTGACTGCCTGGAGAACCAACATTTGATGTGGTGGTCTGATTTTTAGTCCCTACTCACCTTGGTTTTCTCTCCTTACAGTTATTTTTAAGATCAGCAAATGCCTAACATGCAAACTGTCAGTAGCCATCTGTGCTTTTCACAATTAGATCGCTGTTTAAAAAAACGGAGCAAAATTAGGGCCAGCAGGTGGTGTGGTGGTGAAGGCACTGGACTCCCACATGGCCAACCAGTTTGAGCCCCGGGTGGGCAGCTTGAAAATCACACTGAGGGGGCCAGTCGGTGGTGTGGTGGTGAAGGCAGTGGACTCCCACATGGCTGACCATGGTTCGAGTTTTGGATCCGGTGAGCTTCTCACTTTCTCTCTCTCTTGGTCTCTCTCTGGTCAAATTAAAAGTTAGTAATAATAAAATTAAAATAAATAACTTTTTTTTAAAAAGGAAAAGAAAATCACATTGGATATGTGCGTGTGTGTGTGCCCAAAATCCCAGAAGGAGAAGGGGTTGCGGAATGGCTATCCTCCCAGGGGGTGATTTTTCACTTTCTCTCTCTCTGTCTCTGTCAAGCATTCATGCCCTACGGCAAAATCCTTCAAAAACAAAAAGCAAAATTTTCAGCTCTGAGACTTTACTTAACAATCTGACAAGCCATTAAGGGGTAAGTGACAGGTTAGCAGGTGGTGTGGTGGTTAAAGGCACTGGATTCCCACACGACCTACAGCAGTTCTAGACCCAGACCTTGTTACCTGCTTTTCCCCTTTCCCTTTCTCTCTCATGAAATTTAAAAATAACAGGGACCAGCAGTGGGCATAATGCTATGTCGCTGGACTCTGATGTAGTCGACCATGGTTCGAGTCCCGGACCCGGTGGCTTAAACTCATGCTGGGCATATGTGCGTGCATGACCAAGATCCTGAGAGGCGAATGGAGGAGAAGGGATTGCGGCGTGGCCATCCCCCCTGGGGGGTGATTTCTCACTTTCTATCTCTCTCTCTCTCTTTCTGGCAAGTGCATGTGCCCTATAGCAAAAACCTCTCAAAAAAAAAAAGTTTGAGGCCCTTTCCTGAGTTTACTCCCCACTGTTCTAAGAATGCACATGCCTCCCTGTGTTGCCACAGACAGGCAGCTGGATTCACCCACTGGTGTGGGCACTGCCTCAGAAGGGCAGGCTCAAAAACAGCTAGCCAAGATATCTTGAGAAAAGCCTACCACTGCGTGCTGGGTAAAATACATAATCACTAGGCCCTGGAAGCCACCCAGGAGCTCCTACGGCTTCAAGAGGACAAGATGAGACAGGCAAGGACACACTGTTCACAAACTTCCTCCTTGAACCAATCTTAAATCTGAAAATCTGAGAAAGAAGAGCAAGACTTTTTTGATTTTTATGAAGTGGGTATTATTATTCCTGTTTTATAGAAAAGCTAAGAATCAGTCATTGCTTTGGTCTGGCTTAAAAGCTTCCTAGTAAGCCTGTTCCCAAGGCCTTGGCGAGCCTCGGTCTCCAGAGCTACTCACTGTGAGACAGTCACTGCTGCTACTGATGGTAACAGGCAAATAAGGTCCTCGAGGATCCCAGAGCCCTAAAGCAAAGTCCTTTCTAATCTCCCAGACCTATTCATTGAATCATTCTTTGCCCACTAAACAATTCTATTAAGAAGGGAGGCAACCCCAAAGAAGAACAATGGATACCTTAATCTTCATTTTCAATGCTCACTGCAGTCATTTTCAAAACTGCAAGGATGATTCAATGGAGTGCGAGAAATGATGGGAACTGACATGAAAGGTCTATTGGAAAAGTAACTGAGGTTGTGTCTTAAAAATAACCTCTTCCCGGGAACCAGCAGTTAGCGTAATGGCTATGTCGCTGGACTCCCATGTAGTCGACCACGGTTCGCGTCCCGGACCAAGTGGCTTAGAACTCACGCTGGGCGCGTGTGCGTGCTTGCCCAAGATCCTGAGAGGAGAATGGAGGAGAAGGGATTGCGGTGTGGCCATCCCCCCTGGGGGGTGATTTCTCCCTTTCTGTCTGTCTGTCTCTCTCTGTCTGTCTGGCGAGCGCACGCGCCCTATAGCGAAAACCTCTCAAATAAATAAATAGCCTCTTCCCTAATTTCTTTTCCACAAAAATCTTTTTAGTTTTTTCTGCAATTGTCATCCCTGAAGTGAATCTAAAAGTTAAGTTTCATTCTCTCCTTGGTTATTCTCTGCCACAGGGCAAGAACCTGCTCCACCTTGCCGACAAGGCTGACGGTGGTTAAACAAGCAACGGCTCGTCCACGTGTCCATTGGCTTTACTCCTGAACCCCAAAGGCCAGCCAGGTTTTCTCTCCACACCTGTCACTGCCATAAATACTGCTGTTATCGGGAAAAGAATAGTTACTTAGGAGATATCAAAAACAACTCATTTTTTCTTTTGAAGTAACAGGGAAATATTATAGGAATCACCCCCCCCCAACTAAGCTGTTTGACCAATGAGCAATCTGTGAAATCGCACTCTCCGAAATACCTCTTGCTAAATACATTTATCCCATTTCCAGAAGAAGAAAGCTATTCTGACTTATAAGCTGCCATTTTTTCAGGTTCTCTATTTCAAATGAGACAAGTTTATCCTCTGATCAAAAGCGGGCCAGCCCACGGTATGGCGGTTAAGACAGCTGGATCCAACATGCCCGAGCCCACAGTTCAGGTGGCTCGAAAAACACCCTGGGAGCACATGC